GTCTTCGGCGTGACGAGCGAACGCTTTAACCACAAGGCTACGTGTTGAAAGAGTGTTGTAAGTCGACATACAAGGTTTCGGACTCGAACTCCAGCTACTCAATACACGTTGTTTTATAGTCCAAGTAACATCGGCACCTCGTTTCTCTCGAACTCCAGATATTTAATACGCCCTTGATGTTAATTTATAGTCTAAATAGCATTGGCACCGCGTTTCTCTCGAACTCAAGATATTTAATACGCCCTTGATGTTAATTTATAGTCTAAATAGCATTGGCACCGCGTTTCTCTCGAACTCCAGATATTTAATACGGCCTTGATGTTAATTTATAGTCTAAATAGCATTGGCACCGCGTTTCTCTCGAACTCCAGATATTTAATACGCCCTTGATGTTAATTTATAGTCTAAATAGCATTGGCGCTGCATTTCTCTCGAACTCCAGATATTTAATACGCCCTTGATGTTAATTTATAGTCTAAATAGCATTGGCGCTGCATTTCTCTCGAACTCCAGATATTTGATACGCCCTTGATGTTAATTTATAGTCTAAATAGCATTGGCACCGCGTTTCTCTCTGGACTCCAGATATTTAATACGCCCTTGATGTTAATTTATAGTCTAAATAGCATTGGCACCGCGTTTCTCTCGAACTCCAGATATTATACGCCCTTCATGTTAATTTATAGTCTAAATAGCATTGGCACCGCGTTTCTCTCGAACTCCAGATATTTAATACGCCCTTTGATGTTAATTTATAGTCTTAATAGCATTGGCGCTGCATTTCTCTCGAACTCCAGATATTTAATACGCCCTTGATGTTAATTTATAGTCTAAATAGCATTGGCGCTGCATTTCTCTCGAACTCCAGATATTTGATACGCCCTTGATGTTAATTTATAGTCTAAATAGCATTGGCACCGCGTTTCTCTCGGACTCCAGATATTTAATACGCCCTTGATGTTAATTTATAGTCTAAATAGCATTGGCACCGCGTTTCTCTCGAACTCCAGATATTTAATACGCCCTTGATGTTAATTTATAGTATAAATAGCATTGGCGCTGCATTTCTCTCGAACTCCAGATATTTTAATACGCCCTTGATGTTAATTTATAGTATAAATAGCATTGGCGCTGCATTTCTCTCGAACTCCAGATATTTAATACGCCCTTGATGTTAATTTATAGTCTAAATAGCATTGGCACCGCGTTTCTCTCGAACTCCAGATATTTAATACGCCCTTGATGTTAATTTATAGTCTAAATAGCATTGACACTGCATTTCTCTCGAACTCCAATTTCTACATACATCGTTTGTTCATGACGTTAGTTTGTAGTCCAGGGGCTCCTTTCACGAAGCAACCTTTACTAAGGTTAACCTTAACTCCCATTCTTCAACATTGCACTAAGGTCACCTTAGTGACTTACGTTCACCTTAGTGCTTTGTGAAAGGAGGCCCAGGCATTACAGTGTAAAGTAACTCCCATATACTGGTTACACAATATGTCGTCGATGGTCATGTGGCTTCGAGTTAACGCTGTTATCTTCTAGAGTCTGTATATATTTCTCAAACGAAAACGAAGAAATAAAATGAAAATTAATCTAAACTTTAATGTGGACTTTAATTCATTCACTGATCCGTACGAATCCCATTCACCAACATCACCTTGCTTATATTACTGAAATTGCTACATATATATATTAACAATTTCGGTCACCTATACGTATACAGAATACATAATACACGAGCTGTTTCAAGTATCTGTTTGCAGGACTGGCTAAGGCATGTGCCTTTTGTCAGGCACAGCGTCAGTTCAGGACAGAACTCCATTGTGGAGTTATAACCTTGGTTTCTTTCGGCTTCTATAGCAAGGTCGCCAGCTTTTCAGAAATAGTTAAAGTGGACCCCACGCCGTGGGAATGACCAAGAGTGACCGGCAACATGTGTCCCCAACAATACTGTCCCCAGTAAAAGCTGTGGTCACTCTGGGATTTATGGCCACTTTGAAAATGACTGTTAAAAAGTGAACTGTCTGGTAGTGCAAAAAGCAACACATGGCGCCACATTTCGCCCTCTTTAAAAATTTCACGGTTGAAGCAACGCTCCCAGAAATTCTTTTTAATTTTGCCTTCAATATTTCGTTTAATAATTCAGTATTCCCATGATTCCATAAAGCCAAATATTCCCAGAACAAAACAAGCCTGGTTGTTTATTGTCCGTCCATTAAGGAGAGTGCGTTAATGCGAAGTCACTTCATCCCTAAATTAATGTAAGCTCTTTGTTGCTATTTCATTCTGTTGTGAGAACACCATAAGAAATTAACACTTACACGGAGAGACACATACGAAGTCATATAGTTGAAACACTAAATGCGAGGTCATGTATCACACTGAGGGAAGTAGGCTTCACACACAGTGGCATATGTTCTTGTGAGAAGTGTATCTGAATGCTTTGTAAAGCCTTAGTCCCGAGACGCTCTTAAAGCTAAATCTTTAATCACCGAGTGCAAATTAGTCCTCAACAACAAAAAAACACACAACCCAAACAATTCGTGGATCGACGGATGACCAAAGTGCAATTTCGTCTATGAAACAATTCGCGATTACTAAATCCTTTTGTAAATCTGAATCCAACAACTGCTCCACCCCTACACCAATGTTTAAACGCACTTCAAAACAGCCCCTTGTTCATCCGTTTAACCTTGCATAATGACAAAACAATAACTGCAAATCCTAAAAACCGTTTTAAGCTTTATTTCCACATGTTTCCAACAGAGGTGGTAAACCTCTCAAGTAAATCCGATTTATAAGTCCACTCAGCAATAACAGAGTTCATTCAGTAAGAAACAGTCCAGCTGTCTTTCTGTACAATAGACGCAATTCCATCACCTACACAACCCCGTCACTGACTTCATCATCACTGATGTTCAATTAGCACGATTACAGAGAGAACCCGGCATTCAGTATATACCCCCAAGGTTGACTTTGAGTAAGCCGATAGCCTCTGGCGGTCGTAACCTTTGTTAACTGCCGATATACGATGACTGGTCAGTTCGGTCCGTTGTCCGAGCACGTGGTCGGCTTGTTATAGATGATATCACCCTGTCACATATGGTTGAAATGAGCGCCTGTCGTCGGTGTTGCGTCACGAGTACCACGTGCCACTCTGCACGAGACGGGTGCGACAATACCATGATATATGAAACCAGCTTTTGTGTGGTCAGCTTGTCCATTATGAGTAGTTAGTTTACGAGAAATCAATTGTAGGAGCTGCTGGACTTCAGATGTAAAGAGGGTGGTAAACTGGTCAAGTATTATTTTAAAGTCAAACTGAGATTCAACACATTTGCAGCAAATATATAAGAGTTCTAGAACTAATGGAAGCCTTACTTATAAATTTATATATTATTAAATTATTTTTCTTTGAAAATTGTAGAATAACATGCATTTATTTTTAATAAGAATTTGTTGAAAATATCTCATATAGGTTAAAAACATATTCAAAGTTTACAGTTCAAAATCCTTCTGAGCTTTCAAATGATATACTAAATGAATAGTAGTGATTGAAATGTTTTAAAAAGGTAAATTTTTAGGTTTTCATGAAGTTTGCTTTCTGTTTCAAAAGGATTAAACGCTTGTCATATGTTAATAGACACAGTACAAATAAAATATAAATCAATTCGGTAAGAGTTCCTTACCTAACCCCCACCTAATTTTTAACTATAAACTATAGACTAAACTAGTGTTTGCTCATCACAGAAACTGGCAGGGGGTACTTAGGAACTCTTTCCATAAATTCCCCTTGGGTAACATATTTGCTCATTGTTAGATTTTCTCTGGAAAAATGGCCCTTTCACTCATTTAACAATGTATTTGACCTTGATATATCTAAAACTTTCAAGTATAAAAATAAACAAAAACAAGTTATCAGCCATTTGAATGCCTCATGATTTTCACACAAGTATTTAATTAAACTTCAATGCCTGGTGATTTTCATACCAATATTTACAAGGTTTTTTTTAAACTTTTAAGTCTGACATTTTGAGTAGACCCATGTTTTTATTGTGAGAAGTCCCATTACACTCTAACCATTAAGGATATTCTATCTGAGACAAGTGCATGATGCCCTAGTTAGTTGAGCCATTAAATTTAGTATTTGTTTTATAATCTCCTTATACATAATTATTCTGACAATAACATTAGGATATGATGTTTACCAGCATCTCTGTACTGGAAATTACTGAAGCATGGCTGGTTATAAAGCTTCTGAAAGAATGATATAAAATGGGGCCCTCACAATCCTAAAGTTTGATGGGGTCCCCAGATGAACATACCACAGAACTCTTCCCCTGCAAATATTCACCAAGTACAAAAGTACCACAAGATGGTTTCCAAATATTTTACCCAAGGAATCTTTGTTGACTCAATATTACACCAGTATTAAGAATATCACCACTGGAACCATCCTGATATTTGAAAGTCATTATGATAATCTTGCAAAAAGCAGAACCAGAAAAGTGGTTACAAGGTTGCTATCTATAAGGTTTCAGTCTTCACATCCTTACAGATTCAAACACAACTATTGCCTGAAGCAGTAGTCGAACTAATAAACCCCCAATTTCTAATACATAAATGTATTTAATCCTCTGGATTAGTTTAAATGCAGGTATCAATTTAATATTGATTAAGACAATAAAACAAACTGACATTAGAAAATGTACACTGACATGATTATTAACAAAGAATTGGTGTCAACTATTGTTCCAGGCATGGAGTCAGTGTTACAACATATAGGGGGTCATGGTGACCAGCCACCAGGAATAATGTAAGCTCCAAGAGTTCCTTTCACAAAGCAACCTTTACTAAGGTTAACCTTAACTCCCCATTCTTTCACATTGTACTAAGGTTACCTTAGTGACTTATGATCACCTTAGTGCTTCGTGAAAGGAGGCCCAGTTTTTTTCATGTGTATCCCATCCTGTTGTATAAACAACAAAAGCACATTTTCATATTTGATTACTTGTATTTTATTATACAATCTGTCTTGCAGAATATATACAATTGACTCTATACACAACAAACTCTCGTGACAACCAAGTTCAATGTGGCACACAACGGAGAAAAATAAAATTTAACAATTGGTAACAACAGTACACTATGTACTATTATGACAATGTCACAATGAAGAGTATTGTTGTGCATGAAATTGACACATTGAGCGAGCCACATTTGCCTCAGCAAAAGGCACTGTAATGAACATAAATATGAAATAGACATGAAAATATTTCATTAATATATTATAATCTGGCACGACTAGCATAATGTAACACTGACTTGCTTGGGGCCAGGCACAAGGCCTGGAATAATGTACAAAGATAAAGAAGAAAAAAGTTTGTGGTTCAAATTAAATTACCCAAATTTTCTTTGTGCCAGCCTGAAAAATATTAATCTTAACATATAAATACATAAATAAAATAATAAATAGTTAATTTTTTAAGTCTACAGTTTTGTAAGAGAGATAACTTATATCTTTTGATAGACCAGTGTTATTTGTCATCAAAACCACAACACTTCCCTAATTACCACTTCGCACTAATGCATGAAGTTTGAGGCCTTGTTGAGAGGACGACAATTCTGATATGCTGCACTATTTTCACTCGCTGATAATTTTTTATTAAAGCTGAGTTGATTATCTACAATGTGCTGCCATTTGGTGGTTTCAGGTTGATATCACCTATCAATGCTGAACAAATCCTGAATAACTAAATGATTATGTAAAACAAATTCAAATATTGCCACTCATACCTGATAGTGAAAAAACAATCCACAGCTATTTAAAAAACCCTACACAAATTATGCAGTTGCCCTTGTCAGTTCATTCAAAATGTTTCTATAACTAAAACCACATTGCAGGTTATGTTTAATGTCTATAATTTAGAAAAGAATGTTGAATTCATTAGACATTGCAAATATATAACGCTTTTCTTGCCATCTACCTTGTTTGCACACTTGGAAGCAGATTCTCAGCTTGTATACTAACAGCGGAATGGCTTGGTAATGTACATGAGATCAAAGTAACAGTAACCATGGCAACAAAACAACTGTAAACACACATGTACTGGTTTCCCAAACAACAAGCATTTCACATCATTCATTCTGTTAACAAAACTGGGTGTATGGATTAACAATGCAATGAACACATTTAAATGATCAATGTCAAATGGACTTAACTAAAGTAATGAGATGTCTAAGGAATGGAAACTAAAATAAACTTATGATTAATTGATAAAAAAAAAGACCCCCCCAAAAACAAACAAACAAACAACAACCCCAAAACAAAACTAAAGTATGAAATTAAATAAAAAAATATACATCTTTGGAATACTGTTGTTTGGATTAAAAGAAACTTCAATATTTAGAAACTGATAAAAGTAAGCTGTGTCAACTCAACAATGCAGAATGATATGTAAAACACTGATTTGTAATGTTGGAAAAATAGAAATACTGTAATACAATTGTTAACACACGGACATTTCTTGCTGTGCACCCAAGTTTGAACAATGTATGTGCCCACTGATTTATCACAGTACAATCTAGCGACTAAACGATCAGCATTTGATTAAATAACTGGAATAATTTACTAAACTACATTTCATCTAAAAATAAATGCATCTATATCTGCACCAGATTAATATCAAAGCATCTTCCATGCCAAAACTAAAACTACAGCTTGCACTTTCACTGTCTAAAATACTATGGGGATAAATACTATTCCATCAATACAATTTCCAAGAAGGAAATATTTAAAGTTTGTACAATTTCATTCATAATTCCACTGACAATTTTTAACACAAATCAGACAGAGACAACTTTCGTACTGCAGTTTTAGTGTCCTGGGTAAATGGGGCAAATATAGATCCGTCTTTGTGGATTAAAGCAGTTCCTGCTGAGGTGGTTATTGGTTGTTCGGGGGGTATGATCATACGAACTTGTGGTGATTGAATTGATGAGAATGTTTGTAATGGTGAGGATATTGCTGGTGATGGAATGGAAGCTGATGTGGCCTTGACCTGAGGTTGCATAACATGTACAGAGGTAAAGGTCATATTTTGTTGAGCTTGTGGGGTGGGCATGGTGAACATTGTGGGACTCGATGGGGTCAAGGGTGGGCTGAAGGTCACTGGTACCATGAAACCCATTGGCTGACCATTGGGTGTTACTGGTATTCCTCCAACAATCTGCAATGGTTGGGTTGGAGCAAAGCCTTGAAGAGGTGGGGATTGTGGCAAGGATTTGGGGGAGACTCTTGGCATCTTGTCCTGACAGTTCACTGGGACATGAAACACAGACATTGGTTGCTGATTGGGAAGTTGGATTGTTACACGTTGCATTGTAGGTAAAACAGTCTGAGCAGGTATGTGACATTTACTGTTCTCTCTTGGGGATAGCTTTCCACATGGAGAATCTTCATCATCAGCTAAAGGAGCTGCCAGTTCCAGTTCTGATGCTGTGATGCATTTAAATGTATCTGGAGTTGGTTTCCTCTGAACATTGCACATGGGAGGTGAGTTACGGAATTCAGGAGCAAGATGAAGTGCCCTCCTATCTGCTGCAACCTTGCGTTTGGCACATCTTTGATTAATGGCATCCACTTCTCCATCAGGAGTATGAGAGAAGCTATCTGATGAACTGGCTCCTGACTCTTCCTCTGTTGATGGCGGTGTCGGAATGGCTAAACGGATTCTTTTATCAACAGTATTAACATTCCTTACAGCCACATATGTCCGCTTGACACCTCGGCGATCAGGTTGAGCCTGAGCTTGGGGGGTAGTTTCATTCATAGCTGCAAGGGTGCAATCTGGAGACGATGACCTTTGCTCTAAGATTGTCATCTGTGCAGATTTATCTGTAGATGGTGTATTAGGAGAAGACTGAGTTGAAGCATCTTTAAGACTAGAAGTATCCTTCTCAACAGCCACTGGAACTTTGAGAGAGCGTAACACAGCATCAATCTGATCCCTTGTCAGTGGAATCATCGTTGGCTGTTTCATATTCTCGGATGGATTCAAAGGCTTTGTCCTGAATATAAAAGCATTTGCCTTGCCAGAACTTTTGGCTAGGCTTATTGTTTGCGGTGTAAGGGTAGTTCCTGGACTGGATTTATTCTTTTCTGAAGAATCTTGGACAATGGTCAGCTGTCCATCTTTCATGATAAGCAATGGTTTCTTCACTGTTATTGGCATGCTCTGACTCTTTTTCAACTCAGGTTTAGGAAATGGATCTTCCAATGTTTCTGAAAACAGGCAACAAAAGTCCATTATCATACTGAGAAACTCATGTGCTGCATCACCAAATATTTTTACTCGAGGGAACTTAAGAAATAGAAGAGAAATAAAAGTAATTTCTGGGGGTATTTTCTAAAAGCAGGTGCATAAACAAATGAATAATGAATAGCCTTCTCATGATTTAACACCAAAAAAACACCACTATATGACTAGTCACAGAAAGTGTAATAATCCAAATATAATGGTCTTTCACGTGTATTATCTCCCCTTGACCAAAAAAAATATTCAGACTGCTTGAGTAAAAAATTGGTTCTGTGATGCTCTTGCAGGATATGTATTTCTGCACAAAAATCCTATTGATAAGGAAGCATGCTTTACACGTAACATACCTATGTTTGAAATCATTGACAGAACTATTTCTCAGCCTCATAAATCAAACTCAACTACCTACCATCAAAGTTGAGTTTTTTCACAGGACTAGAGGGTTCAGAAGAACATCCATATAATTTGGATCTTTCCTTCTCAGCAACTTGGCAGATTTGTTCGAAAGATGCATGGCGAGAAAAGCGACGGGGAGCATTGTCAGCCTCTTGCTTCAATTTGCTGACTTTAGTTTTAGCTTCTGGGGAGAGAAAAGCAACACACATGATGCATATTTAAGAGTAGAAGAACAGCTTTCTGAAATATGTCCTAAACAGTACATATTGATATGAAGATTCCCATTTGATGAACACAAGTTTCATTACAATCACACATCTTACATATTTGATTACAATTTCAGTTTCTTTACTTTAAATATTACACCTTGACAGTATCTATGCCATTTACATAAATGTAAATACATTTTGGTTTCTTTCACCTTGATATTTGCCACATACTATTCTGCAGAAAAATAGGGCTTAATTTGTTTATAATGTACAAAACATGATGATCCCTTAATCTTTTGTTTGACACAATGTTGTAATCTTTGTTTAAATACTGAATGAAATGAGAGTAGTATGGTTTAAGTAATACAAATCAAAATCTATGTAATAACATTCACTAAGGTATATTTGCTGACTGCATCAAGTTCTCACATTCATAAATAGCATAATGGCTAATAGTTATCTGACATTAGCAATATCCACCAGTAGGTAACACAATTAACTTAAGGATCAAACCATGTGCAGCAGTCTGCTATAACTGCAGTACTTCACGTGGTACTGGTGGATACATATTTTCCTTTCTTTACAAACACATGCCAAGACACTTTATGAAATGATCAAAGGAAGTGTAATTCTACATTAAACAGATAAATACAATTTTTGTGTAGAAATTACAAAGACAAATTGGATGCCTAGTAAATGTCAGAATTCAGTTGCAGTATTTCCAGTGTTGAATATTTGAGATCAAGGGTCCCTACAGTCATCCCTCCCAAGTTCACAAACTGCTGTGAAATGTGACAATCTGCAGGCCATCAGGCAAGTGTCTTGTCTGTTACAGATATTTCATGTTTCTTACCTGCTAATGTTGCAACCACAGATGGATTCTGTATAGGAACACACGGATGAATGGGTCTGTACATATTTACAAGGTTTGCAACTGCAAAACAGAAAGTAATTAACATAAGAAAACATGTTCTGCCCAAGACATCAAAATGCAAGCATTATTGATTTCATGTTTATCAAAATAATTTCAATCCTTCCATCCAGAAATATTTTTTGCACTGCACAGCATGAATGTTAAAACTGATACCTTATATGAAGGATGAAAGCAATTAGATTTATTTTTCTGAATTCTCAACTGAAACAACTTTATTCATATTCGTAACTACACTCAGACGTATTGTAATGAATAAAACATTCATGAGTACTTACCATTGGCATTTTTAACACAGTCAAGCATAGAGTGGCGAGAGCTGGGACGATGACATCCATCAGTGCAACAAACTGAAAATATCAAATTGACAATCAGTTTTTGATGAGACTGGGACACATTGGTCATAGATTTGTAGAAATTGATGAACTCATTACAAAGTACAAGAGTCTGTAGTATACATGTAACTAAAATTTCTAAATACAATACAAACAGATACTTACAGCCAACATCATTGACGTTATCAACATCAGGACCGATGTATTTGAATGCTGGTTTACGACCTCTGATCTCTGTGACATGGACCTTACGAATAAGGTCAAGACTAGTGAGGATATTGGCAATGTCATACAGACGGCGGATCTTAGCTGGAAACAAGACACAATGAATAAATAAATGCATTGTACAAACAATTTACTCATAAATAAACTTGACAGAAGTAAAGAATGCTGGTAATGAATTTTTTTTTATGTTACCAAAATTGGATATTAAAGGTGCAATATTTCTACCAAACCGCAATGCAGGATTAGTGTAAATCCCTTTCCTGCTCATACAAAATGATGTATTTCCTACATTTCCTGTTTACGTAGAAGTTTATGCCCATATATGATAAACAGAGATGTAATGACATTTTGAGGAACATTTTTGAAAACTGGTGGACAAGCTAAGGTAACAATAAATCATGAGAGCATATAGGTTTTTTTGGCATATGTATTAGCAATCCATCTGCATTTAACTATTATTATTTTTTATCTGTATAATATACTGATATAGCATTCACCTAGAGCACTGAATCTAATAATTAATTCACTGTGGCCTAACAGACTACTAGGAAGGATTATTTATAGCTAATGACCAACAATAATCTTAAAAGCTGAAACAAATCCAAAACAACAGTTCCAGAATGAACACAAAATTCCAAAGCACTCTTTTGATGAACAACCTCAGATTTCTTACTTTTGAATTTGGCACTCTCTGTCCTGTCAATGAGAGGATCACCTATGAGTATTTTAGCTGAGAGATCCAGGTTGACGGTCTTTGGTTTAGAGACGAGGAACAGCATGAGAAACTTCTGACTCATGATGCCAAGGGACTTGTCTTTCCGGACTGCTGAAACAAGCATGATATATGACGCTACAGATTTAACACATTCAGCAGGAATAGATCCAGCCACATTCTTGTTGAGCTAATCTTTTGGTTTGTCATGGTGTTCCAATGAAGTGAAAAAATCAACGATCAGTTTTGCACTGATCACATCCAAATAAAGTAGATTGAAAAGATTAATTAATTTTATTTAGATTTTTAAGTTATTTAAATTTCAACACACATTGTATGATATATAGATGATATCTGGTTCAAACCTTGTAATTCAACTGATATTTATCACATCTTTTAATCATATAAAACTTATGGTTAGCAATAGATATTTAAACTGATAATAACTCTAACATACCCTTGTCGCCAATTTCAACTGGCAGCTTTACTGTACAAGTCTCCCCATCTTGAAGTTCTCGGTTTAGTTCAAGTTCCTTCAGTTTATCCATCTGTTCTGCAAAACCTTCAGTCTCAGCCAGAGCCTACAGAAACATGAAAATAGAATCAACATCATTGTGATAATGGCAGTCTTTTACACTCTTGATCACGCTAAAAATATAAGACCTCTCATTGTCTGAAACTTATGTTAACATACATGTGTAAAGATATATATTATTTGAACAACAACCTTAACCTTTTCACAATAAAAACAGAACACTTACCCTAAGTTTTGCAAGTGTTGTGACAAGGTTTGTCTTTCCATGCCATGCATATCTATTCTTAGCCACTCTGCTGACAATTTCAACACTCTCCAGAACATTGACGATGTCATAGATTCTCCTTCTCTCAACGCCTGAAATACACGTGCAGTTGACATTAATATGATATTGATTGAAAGTTCAAAAGGAAAGTCAAGGATATTTTGGCATTATACAAATGTTTATCAAAATATGACAAGAAGGGGATCTATTCCCCAGCACCCCATGCACGCTGTAAGAGCTTACCAAAAAAATGTTCCATCGTGTGATGTGATTGTGTCAGGGTAATCCCCTTCCTTGTATTATGTTATTGAATCATGATGATTCATCATTCTGTACACTCAACATCAGGGCTCCAGATAATTTTTCAACATCAGGAGTAAGTACTCATTATTGTTTCAATATAGGCGTACTGGAAACACTTAAGAGTACATTTAGAGTACTGAATGGACTTTAATGGCGTATCAGTAATCTATTGTTCTTTCATATATGCACCACAACATTGCTAGTCTTGTGTACACAGGTCAATAAACAATAAAAAAACAGACTTTTTTTCAGATAAATACTCCTGTAAATGATTCTAAGACCGTACACTATTGCTGTGGTGCGTATCTGCTAAGTTTCCTAAAGTATTTCCAATCGTATCGTGCATATCTTTTAGCCGTACATACGCCGATACGGCCTTTATCTGGAGCCCTGCAACATGTTTTGATTGTAATCTAAGGAATATCAAAAGGATAAAAATGCATTGTCTTTGGTCATCTATTTTTTCACCTCTGCAGACAGTACTTACTGAGTTCTTTGGCAACTTCATCCAGGCAGATTTCAAAGTTCTGAGAAGCATCAGGGTATTCTGGATACTTCTGTAGAAACCTGAAAATTCAGAAGGCATTGTTGCAATGTTGTTGAGGGTTAAATATCAGTGTAAAAAGGCAGGTGAAGAAGCAGCTAGAATTGGCAGTTTTCGCTAAATATCTCATTTCAAAATGTCAGTCTTAGATCAATGAGCTAGTTGGACGCCCTCTAACCTGATTTAGTATTTGCCAAGATGTCAAGTCTGAACCTCAGTGAGGCATTACTTAAGTCTGGTTGATCCACATCAAATATTTTTTAACAATTTTAACAACTTTTAAACATTTTTCAATGTGGATAATTCATCACAACATTCCAACCACAAATAATTTGAATCCACAGGAAAAAGGCTTCCTTGTATAATATGGAGTCAATATAAACACTTTGAAACAAGAATGTCACATGAAGATGTGTTCATACATTTATCAATAAGATACATTGCATGACGTCTTACTTTTGACACAGGAGTCCAAGAGATTTTTCTTTTCTTGACCCAGTTGAGGGTTTGCCGGAGTCACTTTCTTGAGATGAACATAATATTTCATTGTCAAAGTCATTTACATCTTGATTTGATTCCTCTGCTATATGTTGAGCATTTGCCTCTTCTTTTAATTTACTCTGCATTTTTCTAATCTCAGGACTAACAGCACTAAAGAGCATCTTTAGATTTGCTGTTGGGGTCAAAGGAGCCTCAGCCTCTTCTTTGGGCTTGGTAGGTGTGACAGGCTGACTGTTATTGTTTTGATCTGTGTCAATATTTTCCATGGCATTGTCCACAGTAAAGTCAGTATCTTCTAGTGGAATGCGAAGTTTTGATCTTGGGGAAGCTACTCTCTTTGGACTGTTTTCATTTTCTTTGTTAATGATGGATGCTCTGCCCTTATTGTGATCACAATACTTGATATCACTGTTGTGTGATTTCTGACTGAAAGGCATCATGTCGGATAAAGCCATATCTTCATCACTTTCATCTTCTGTTATTGATGCCCTTAGTTTTGCGGACAGCAACTGTTTTGTTAATCCTGCCATTTCTGAAACAGAAATACACAATGCTGGATTTCATTGTCTTCATACAAATAATTTCTCACTTGTATCATTTTTGCTAAACATTCATATCACATGGCATGTTTCTGTAAAATCAATGGAAGTGTTCAGGTACAGTAATGAAGTCTGTGCCTTTAGACTGACTGACTGAGTTTGGTTTTACGCCGCTTTTAGCAATATTCCAGCAACATCACGGCGGGGGACACCAGAAATGGGCTTCACACATTGTACCCATGTGGGGATTCGAACCCGGGTCCTCTGCGTGACGAGCCAACGCTTTAACCACTAGGCTACCCCACCGCCCCTGCCTTTAGAAAGAGCTCATTGGACTATTAATGAGATCAACATGAGCTTTAAGGATTTAGTCCTCAAAATAATTTGGTTTGAGATGTTTCCCTAAGTAAATGAATAGACAGACATACGTCCAGCAGAGCCAAATTGACCCTTTGATTTTCATGCTAAATTTTGATGGAGTTTAAAAACAGCAATGTTATGAAACTATTTCCTATAGCTTTTACAACAACCATGTTGTACAGATATTGAAAATGAAATTACCATGTTAGTTTAATCATAATCCATGCAATTGTCCGGATTCATTCTTTAACAACAACAAAATCATTGTCTACATAATATATCATTAAAATTATGTCCCAAGGATTCATTGTTTTCAGATAATATAAATCATCAAAAAATTTCACACTGATCTAACATCTTAAATGTGAAAAAAATATATGCCATGGTGAGTGCAACAGACAGTGAAATCAGTGATTAATTATGAGGGTCTTCTACACCAGTACTGAGGTCATAAATCTAATGATGCAATCACTGCCAGTCATTTGCTATGTAGACTACATATTGATCGGACTGTGACTTGAAAATTTATAAAAGAAAGTTTGAACAAAGCAGGTTGTCAACAGGTGGTGAAGTGATCAAGCTGATGTTGACAACTGAACTGGCGCGCCCATTCTCCCGCTAAAATTCAAGGGTAAAATTATTCGAAATAATTTTACCACCTATTTCAAGCTAACGCAACAGATACTAATGAGAGATATTAAACATCTGGAGGCAAAAAAATTGATTTGGCAAACCGTCATAACATCTAATTGACAAAGAAAGGTGGGACCAAGAGAAATCGGAGATCAAAACATTGCCCCAGTTACCGGCGTCCTTGCCTAACTGTAAATAAATCCTGAAATCGACAACCGTTTCAGACTTCCCAAAGTTTACATGGAGATTAGACATATCCAGACACTCAGTATCCACCTAAATAAAATAATTTAATCTAACTTACCGAGTTAAACCCCATACGACACCGGTTTGAGCGCTCAGACTGCGCGTTATTTTGGCTCGTCTGTACGATTTCTGCACGTTCGAAATTGGCGCGTGATAGTAACCCACACGGGGCCCCATCGGCCCGGAACGTGTATACGTAAAATGGCGGGGGTGTGCCAGCTTACAATTTGGAGTAAAAATTATTCGAAAATAGTTAAAAATGATTGTGATATGTAATTATTTCGACTGAAATATATTGGATATGCATTAAAAGGATAATAAATTGATAGAACAGTCCTGAATTTACTAGAATTAGGTCATACGATGTTTGAACATGTCAATACCGGTCGCGAGCCAACCGGTGCAATATACATTGTGGCTATTTTTGTACAAGTGTCAAATTATTTAATCATAATAATTAACTTATTACAAATAGGTATCATTCCACATTAGACATATCGAGTGATAATTATTAATATTAATAAGTACGCCCCTCTTTATGATCTAAAAAATGGTTTTGTTACCGTTGACAGTTGTGACATCAGCAACATCTAAATATAATGATTACTCGGCCTAAACGATTGAAAGGACAGGGTGGTTCGATGGCATTAATAACACATCTTTGTTATTTTTTAGTAATTATGAACAATAGCAAGAAAATCTAAAAATGAATCACCAACACACCTTTGTTTTTGCAGTGAAATATCTCACTTGCCTGTACACGACCTCGAACTAAACAGTCATATGCATTTGTGGACAGCCGTGGAATAAGATAATCCCTGAGTGTAGATCCCTTCCAAATTATTTCCTGTCCCTGCTTCTGCTGGTGAAATATCCTTAGATGGAGGGGCTTGATTTGTCTTGTCACCCTCCCTGGTTAAATAATTTTTGTGCGAAATCAATTCGAGCCACTACGAATATTTGGCGCGAGATAGTGCGTTTTTAGAAACAGTAAACCCGCCTACTTTTCATTACCCAATCAGAGAAAGGCACCCCCTTTTGATTGACAGCCAGCTATACAGTTATCCAATCATATCGCCTGACAAGGTAGGTCATAGGTCAAACAATGAAAACATGTCCATGCGGAACATGTGAGTGAATAACGTTATGTGTGACGCGAGGGAAAACATGTCTACACTAGCATTGTCACATGATCGTATGTATTTACGACTTTCAATAAGCGGATGATTAGCATGTTCTAAAGGGTAGCATACGCTTAGGCAAGTGTTTCGCGCACAAAATATTGCGGGAAAAGAAAGACGTGATGAAAACACTTGCCAAACTGTGCAGTGGCCAAATATAAACGCAAAATTCCGTGACGTAGGATTCAGTGTTATTTTGGGTTTTCGCTCATGTCGTAAACGTATTGCAACAAAAACAGGTGTAGTCGTATAGACGTGCAATAAATGTCACAGATGTGTGAAATTTGCCACAGGGTAGTCTAATTACCAGTTGATTACGGTACCATAATCAGCATCAATAATTTGCAGACGGATATTATGGAAAACAAGGGAAGCAGCTTGTAACAGAAAAAAACCCCTTATATTTTATTTTTTGTAAAGAAAAAATCCACATGATAATTAACGATTTCCGCGTTTCAAAGATGACTTTACAAAACTAATGAAGATTACTCAAAACATGGAATAAACTCTACATATGAAGATTTCTTAATTTAGCATTTGTAAATAAAACACGCACAAATATGACAGCACTAATGAGAACAATCGGAATTGTTTAGGTTTACTGATCATGCAAAACACGCCTTCGTTGAGAAAATCAATTTTCATAATTTATGCGAGATCGCACTCAATGACTCAGACGCCTCTACTACATGTGGGTTAGCAAGAGCCCAACGTGAATGTTGTGAATTTAGGATGTAGAGCGATCGAGGGATTTCCCTACTGTGAGAAGCATCGCCAGCATTGTACAGGGGGCGAAAACACCAGATGTGCATTTAGAGTCTACAGTTTGCTCTTTTTCTATTCAAGATTTGGATGTATGTGTTTGTATCGTGTGTTTATAGCGAAAATCTGCATTTGTGAGGTACCTGTTGTTTGTGCTGATTGGCGATCGGAGTTATGAAAACGCAAGTGGAGAATCGTCACCATGGCTCATTGTAAACAAAGCCAATCCTCGGGGGGTCACCCCCAGAAAACCCCCAGTTACAGTGTGGAAGAAACAATTAGGGTAAGTACCCCTTTGTTCATTGTTTACACCCGTACACATTGACTGGTTTTCAAGCGCCGTGCGCTGTCACGCGTTTCAGTGGTTCTACTGTTGCCGGAATTTCGATGCAACAGTTGTAAACACAACGTGTCAAAATCGTTCCAAAACAGACAGTTTGCTAAGAAAACTGTGACGTTGTTTTTTCTTTCAGGGGATTTCTACGACAATGTGACGTTTGTTATCAACGTCATAAACGGTCAGATTGACACTGGAATAGATGTCAGCACATTATTGATTGCGATGTACAGTCATTTAAAGACAGGCACTGAATGACAGCAGACTGTTTTAGCGGTTGCTGTTGGTATTGAATAACAGTGATAGGTGTATTTGTTTATTTGTGCAAAATAGAACATTCACATGTTTAATAAATGAAATAATCGGATAAAAAAAACTAAAAATATTGTAATGATTAAATATGAAATATTATATAATGATTTTTACAGCTAATGAGATATTTAATAAAAAAAAACGTTGCAAATATTTTTTTAACAGGTAATTAGATATTTAATTAAAAACCCCATTAAAAACATTATTTTGTAATTTCCACAGCAAAGAAATACACTAATCAATAGGAATGTGCCCTTAAACTTGGTAAATATAATCCATGTGAATAAGTACAATCTGTTTTCATGCAGAGTCATTGTCATATTTTCTGTAGCGCAGTTATCAGTTTTTCACACTGAAATGTGTGTTCATTAGTCACAAATATATAGAATGGGCACAGAGAATCACAGCATCCCAAGTGATGCAGACAAGTATTGATTGTACCCTGTTCATGAGAAATATGTAGGTGCAGTACCTAATAAAACTAACAAAGAAATCTTACAGAACACTACACCATGCCATTACTTTACTGAACTCTGATACCTCCAGAAAGGAACTTTGAAATGAATTATTGGGCATCCCTGGAATCCCCCCCCTCCCCGCTTTGTCGGTGAAGAAGAACACCGTTGTGATATTTCACATAATGATAACCAGCCATATATGATTATACATCTCGAGGCCTGATATATCACAATTGAATTATGGATGAAAGTAGCATTGATCACCTCTTTCCTGCATTCAGACTTAATGATGCCAGTGACATTTCCCCATCATGAAGGTTACAGCTAGAATACACTTTTAAAGTTCACCTGTGTCTGTACAAGTGGAGAATCATTCTCTGTAATGTGTAGGTAGTTGGTTTGATCTGTCGTCGTTGAGCGACATGGTTTGGTGTGGAGTGAGTGAATGTGATCATTCTCCGTTCATTGTATGTGTGTGTAGGTGGTTGAGTGAGTTTAGTTTTACGCCGCACACAGAAATATGCCAGCTATATGGCGGCTTGTGTAGGAAATTGGTTTCTGTTAATGTGGCATGGGATGGCGTCTGGGAATGTATTCATTCTCTGTTCATAATGTGTGTAAGGCTGGTTTCTGCTCAAGTGGGGTGGGTGAGAGAATTTGATCATTCTCTGTTGATCATGTGAGAGAATTTGATCATTCTCTGTTGATCATGTGTGGTTGGTTTCTGTCGTCATGGCGTGAGAGAATTTGATCATTCTCTGTTATGTTATGTGTGTGATCTTTAAATGTTATGTCTGTGTTGGTAGTGAATTTCTGTCAGTGTGGGCTTGCGTTAGGGAATGTTATGATTCTCTGTTTATTATCAGTATGTATGTGTGGGTGGGTGGTTTCTGTCAGCGTGACATTTTGTGGCATGAAAGAAAGGTGAACATTGTTCTCGTTACATTTGTCTCATACAGTTAATTACTGTCAGATAGGGGCTGTAAACAACTTAATCTCATTAGGATCTATTAATAGACACGTGGTGTCCAATGTTTAATGAAGTTATGTAAGTCTGATGTGGATAGACAAATCATTGTCACAGAGTAACAACCTGGATAGGTAAAGCCTATATTTATATGTTTCCTGCAGCACACAGTGTTGTTGTTTTAAGTTATAACAATACAACACTATTTGAATATATCTATATCTGATCTTGACTTGTTTTTATTGATTAGGGGGCGATGGGGTAGCCTAATGGTTAGAGCGTTGGCTCGTCACGCCGAAGACCCGCGTTCGATTCCCCACATGGGCACAATGTGTGAAGCCCATTTCCGGTGTCCCCCGCCGTGATGTTGCTGGAATATTGCTAAAAGCGGCGTAAAACCAAACTCAGTCAGTCAGTCAGTTTTATTGATTAATGCTGTTAGCATGTCACTTCCCATAACTTAATGATCAGAATATCCATTTAGCCTTTTAGGTTTGCAAGCTGTTATGAATGTAAAGGCAAGAATTTTATGGATGTCAACTTCTTTACTGTGAAGTATATATCACAATAAAGGAGTTGACATCCATAAAATTCTTGCCTTACTGTGTATCCATTCTAAATGCCATTCAAAGACTCTGTTCTGATGTACTTATGCCGATGAGGAAATACACATAGTGTTTTTGTTTATGGGGCAGTTTTATTGTAAGGTGGCTGATATATTTTTTTTAATAAAAATATACAACCAAAGTATTCATGCTGTCTCTACGCTCTTGTAAAAGACGTGTAAACATAGATTATAAAAGCAAGAAAATACACCTTGTTTCAAAAGATATATATAGATGGCTTATCTCTATATTCTAATGAGAAACATTAAAAACTAACTTAAATAGAGTTTTAAATCTTGACATATAATTAAAGGACAAAACACTTTCATTTTTAACAAATATTGTTTATAATGAGTATCCTACAGCATATTGTATCTGTGCATCAAATGTGATTAGCTTCATAAGCCATTAGTCTCACAGGGATCAGTCATGTTCTGTAATGGGGCCCCAGCCATGAATCATTAGGCCCCAACTATGGAAACAATAGACTTGTGGTTTAATGAACTTGCCACTGTATATTTCTAAGTACACAAATAAAAGTCTGAAGTGAAGTTGTGTTTAACCACTCAGACACTACAATCACATCATAATACATCCAGGTGTGTTGTTTTAACTAATTATCATGTCAAGGTTGTAAAGTAATTAATGGCATTTAAGTGAGATTCTTTGTTTTTGTATGAGGACAATATTGTCTATACTTGATGTATTTCTCCATGAATTACCTGTAAATCTTACTTAAAACACAACAATCAAGCTTTTAATTAGCAGTCACTTATTTGGAGAGTCTCTATGATGTACGTAAATGATGTAATTACCATGAACCTGTTTGTTTAACTGTAACAGATTTGTTCCCCCATAAGTTCTATCTTAGACAAATCTGATATTACAGGAACATAACTTTGTTATCATTTAAAAAATGCTTTGTTCAAAGTACTCATTACTGAGTTAAACTGTGCTAACTTTTAGTACATTTTTCCTTGCATCATCAATAATGTGTCTAAGTGACTTTATTTCAATGATCTGTTTAAATTTCAAATAATACATTGATAAGATATGATAGATTCCAATCTTTTTCCTGATTTCATTGTTAAAGCACAAACTTAAATACAGATCTTATTATCTATTGTTAGTGAAATGACATTCTTGGAGTTTGGATATTGATCACTGATATTCTATTGTTGTCTGGCTTTAATTCCAAAGGTCACATCTGAAGATCTAAGGGTGCTCAGTGTCATACCTCCTCCTCCTTCTCCTCCTCTTCCCTCCTCCCTGCATATATTCATCCTTGTTCATTCTCGCTCTCAGTATATTGAAATGTGCAATACCTTTCTCTGTTGATGTTGTCCCAGAAAGGAGATTA